CCTTGAGATAGGATTTGGGGGTCACTGTTGAGGGTCCCTAATTTCGATTTTTCGGAGGGCCCTAATGTTAGGGGGGGGGGCATACTTATTAAAGCGGGCCCAGCATTATTACGCTGAACAGTAAACCCTAAGCCCTACCCCTGTTGACCTACACCCCAAACCTCAAGCCCTAAACCCTAAATTGAACATGACCCTTGGAGCCTTGATCTCTTGAAGGCCATTTGCTCCACATCCGAGTCTTCGGCGAGGGCGAGGCTCTAGCAGTGAACCCTGGCATTCACTGTACTTTTGATAGGGTTCAGGGATGTACGGGGTTTGTGGCTTTGAAAGGTTAGATTTATGGGCCCCTCATATGGGCCCTTAGGTCTTTTAGGGGGATTCACGGGACCCTTAAGGGTATATTTAGGATATGTAGTAAGTATACAAGGATTCCAGGGTTAAGCGCCCATGCTAGAGGCCCATGGTTTCAACCTCCAGCTTTAGGTTTAGGCTAGTAACGCTTTAGGTTTTCAGGGTTTGGGGTTTAGCGCTTGTTGCGGTTTGGAGTTCAGGGTATTTAGGCTTTAGGGTCGCAGGGTTTGGGTTTGGGGTTCAGGGTCCGTGTTTGTGGTAAAAAGGGCCCGACATGTCTATGAATGATCAAATTCTCTGTTTGACTCTTTGCTAGAATCATATTGGCGGATGCTCTACTGGAACGATTCCATGCACTTATGGATCCTCTTGCGCGGTGCCTTGCCAAAGAGATACCAGTGGGGCGCGAAAAAAATCAAGGAACACTTATCCTGACAAGTGCCCACGTTGGATCGCAGGCATTTGTAGCACCCGTTGCTCTAGTGTTGCCAAGTGAGATACAGTGGATACAAGACAAGTACATGGAATCTAGTTGACTGTTGAACTCTAACCTTCATCCAAACCGAACTAGGTCGTGCGAGGCGCGTGGTTTAGGAGAATCCCAATTTTTAGCAGATGGGATGGCAGCTATAAGATAGTGAAGCTCGTGAATAACCCTGGTATACTGCCCTCAACCTTGAGCTCAAGCCCCAAGGGTTCAAGTACTTTAATAATATACCAATGAGCTCCTGTATAGTTACTTCGGGCCCAAGGATACGTAAAATCTTGGAGAAGGTATGCGGTACAAGCTAGGTACTTAATGGGTAGCACATGAGCTTTTCAATTCTTATCCCGCTGCGCTAAACCCTAAACTCTGAACAGTTTCACACCTGAAGGATCTGGCTGTTGGAAAGCAGGAAAAAAGGAACGTTAGGAGTGATTTGAGGTAATGGTTGGGTCCGGCCCCCACCCATGAACAGTCGATAATAGGGGCCTATTAAGGGCTCTATATAGTTCTGTTTTGAATATGATCCAGCTGATGATGAGTCGGGGCAGTATCCAAAATAATGGGTTCTCGGGGTGATATCGGGTAATCGTGGAGAGTCAAACAGAACAAATAAGCAAGAATGACCTGGAAAGTGAGTTTCAAGAGGTTTTCCTGTAGATTGCAATGTAGGGGCCAATTAAAGTAGAATCGGGTTTGCGGGCATATAGAAGTTACTACAATTCTAAAGTGCCTGCTAGGGGATGAGCTTGGCAGTCGTCCAATGAGGCTTCTACACTGATGTCAGGATGATGACGGTCATCATATCTAATCTTCCACGCCCTCAAGGGCCACTACACTCCCTCCACAAAAGTTCTATACCCCCTAGTGCCAGCGCAATTCGCAGCAAACAGAGCACGGGTCCACGATAAGCGTCCGAGCGCAGGGTTCCAAATGTTGGGGAAGCACCGGGTTTCCGGCCAGCACAGCTCTGCAAACCTTTCACGGAGCCGCCAAAAAACCCATTGAAGAATATGTGTTATAGTCTAAACTCCTAGTATCCCCCTTAATAACCCCTATTCTACTCCCCTATATAAACCCTTATACAACCCCCTTTAAGGAGTTTTTTGCTATAGCTCACAGGGATTTGGGGTTTTTGGTTTGGGACCTGGGCTCTGGAGTTCAAGGGTTTGGCGCTAGCACAATGTACTGCGTCACCAAAACAGAAGTTTAGGGTTTAGGGTTTAGGGTTTAGAGATGATTGTTGTTCATCAAACTGGCATCCTTGCCTTTGGGGGTTGAAGTTGGTGGGGTGCCCTAGGTGTAATGTAGGGATAATGGAAAAGAACATGGAAACAACTATAGTATATAGGGTTATATGCGATTATTCTCGGTATGTGGAGCACCCGCGCATTTGCTAGACGTACATTTTTTGAAGCTGTCTTGCAGCTGCCCTTGGTTTTGCCTTGGGTCTTGTCTTTTTACAGAAGGGGGTTCCCGAAATCAGGGGCACCGATTTGGTGCCTCCATTTGAGCTAGGCTATAGTCTAAGCTCCTAGTACCTTAATCAGCCCTAGTTGTCCCCTATATAGTCCCCTAAATGACCCCTTTTAAGGAGTTTAGACCCTAAACCCTAATCCGTAAACCCTAAAGTGTTTGTTCATCCACGCCTCCCGTGGGTTGTCAGCGTTCTCCCCGAAGGGGAGGTGGCCGCATAGCAGCCTTCCGCGCTTGACGATGTATGCGGAGACCGATTGCGATACGTGGAAGCTTTGCTAAACAAGATGAACAATCCTTGCTATACATAGTTATGTATGTATGTATATATATATGTTCATACTCTACCATATTATGTTTACACATACACAAATCTCAATCTGTCTCTGTCTCTCTCTCTCTCTCTCTCTCTCTCTCTGTCTCTCTCTCTCTCTCTCTCTTGTTTGCTTGCTTGCTTGCGTGCTCGCATGGCTGCACAGTTGGAATGACTATACAGCTAATTACTATGAGATAACTTCTAAAGAGCAGGCGACATGCAATCTAGCCGGGAGCGCTCGTAGAGAACAATCCCCAGCGCCCAAACCTGAGCTGCAAGTCAGATCGCCAACGGAGGTCTAAGCAGTAAGGAAGAAAGGGTCATTTCCTCAATATAATATGTAAACCTTGACATGGCTTCCAAGTATAGAATCAGAAGACCCGCAGCTCGCAGGGGCGGAATATCATTGCTGATTTGCCGCCAGAATGTCATGCAAGCCTTCACTCGACACTGAGGGCCAAGCATCAACTTCCAGGCCATAGCCCTTGCCACGCATGACTTCGGGAGCCATGTAGTGTGCCGTGCCTTGGCACAGCCGGGGCAACCAACTTGCCGCACCACTTAAAGCTGCAGGTGTCCTTTCAAGGGTACCACTCATGGTCGCAGGGTGGAGGAGCAGGAGGAGGCATTGAACTCCCTGAAGGGTATATCCTAAACCCTCCACCACTGGCAAGCTTGTTGGGGAGGACCACCAATGCGAATCCTGAATCCAAAGCATGTCAATCAGGAACGAGCGCAACAAGATTACTTTTGTGATTTGCTCATTGAAGTGTCATGGATAGCACATGCAATGAAAAAAACGCGCACGGCAACGGTCCACCTGAAGCCCAAACTCTTGGGGGCCGGGCCGACCGGGGTGAAAGTTCTGCCGCACTTGGCTTCCAGTTTCTTAGCAGTGCCAAAGTCGACCAGCTTCAGATAGCCCTGAGGAACAGGTTTGAAGGCTGAACTGGGGGGCCCAATGATGCAGAATCAAATGGACAAGAAAATGGAAAATGAAATGGAAACTGGGGTTATATAGGATTATATTGAGGCTATATTAAGCCTTCGTAGGGCTCTTGCTCGTGTGTGGGAGAGAAGCTCTAGAAAGATGTGGACTTGTAGAAACGACATGTGGCTTGGCAACATGTGAGCCATAGTCTAAACTCCTAGCATCCCCCTTAGTAAGCCCCATAGTAGTCCCCTACATACTCCCCTAAAAAACCCTTCAAGGAGTTTAGACTATAGGTCATGTCATCTTGATCCGGATTCTGATCTCTACAGTTCTGTCAATGACAAATGTCAAACAAGCCAGGTAGCAGCTTGGCATCTTGGCGGGTTCAGGGTTAAAGGGGTCTTACTGTTAGAGTCTCCAGTAAGCAAGCACAGGTATTTACTTCAACGCCCGGGGCCTGGGGCTTGCTTGATAAACAGATGGTCTGGATTCCGTGAGGGGCCCAAAACCAAAATACATGAAAGAGAGTCCTGAATCACTAGGCTGAAACTTTTCAAGCGGCGAGCGAAAGTCATGAAAGAGAGTCTCTTGTTTGAAATGAATGCTATGTTGCTACAACCCAAATGAAAAGCTCCGCACCGTATTTTCCTGAACCCTAAAACCTAAACTATTGACCCAACTCCTTCCCAAAAAGCATCACTGAACTCTGAATACTAAATCCCTAAATCCTACACTCCAAGCCAGAATTCGCAAACGCTCCCCAAACAACCACACCCAAGACCGTAAACCCGAAAGCACAACTCCCAAACCCAGGTCCACAAACCCTAAGCCGTTCATCTCTGAAGACCCTCAGCCCTTAAGTTTCATGGGGTTTCTACTACCCGCCCCTACACTACTACCCCCACAAAAACCCCTTAATCAAAGTCACTTCAGGATACTTCGGGCTAATTAAGGTCAGTTAAGGGGAACCTAGGGAGAAGTAGTAAAGGGGAACTAGTAAGCGAACCCGCACAAGGTGGCAAGGCCTCAGCATCCAAGAGGATGTTCTCCGGCTTCAGGTCCCGGTAGAGGACGTTCCGCTCATGCAAGGCTTCCAGCATCAGAAGCAGGGATCCAACGCAGAACCTGAAGGAGGCTTTAGGCTCAAGTTGGACGCTAGTGGATTTAGGAACATCCACATTTTGGAGGAAGATGTTGGAGTGCACCATGGTAAGTTTATCGTTGGAAGATTCCGAAACCAATGCCTAAATTCAGTATGCATGGGCCGGTTAGAAGACACATGTTCTGTGAGCTGAGCAAAGCACATTGCTTGCTGGCGGCTGAAGACAGTCGAGATTGCCCGCATGGCCGCGTATAGCCTCAGGTGCGGCTTAGTCTTCCTAAAGCTTCTTGAGTGATCCACTCTCTAAAATCCATCCTGGAACCCTGCTGTCTAAAACAAGAGAATTGCGTGGGATATAGTTTAGGGATTCCTCTAAGGGTCTGGATGGGAACCTCTGAGAAACTATCTGGGTTCTCGACCCAAACACACCTCAAGAGAACAGCATCCGGATGATTACTTCACTGGGTTCCCCAGTGACCCCTCAATACCCTTTTTCCGAACGTTCAGATTTGATGAGGACAACTCAAAATCAAAAAGGGGAAAAGGGTACTACTGGCGTACCTAGCTCACACCCTAAGCCCTAAACTGTTGCACTGAGGAATCTGCTCGCCGCCTCCCACATACTCGGCCAGGACGTACATGTGAGAGTGGGTCTGCATGGACTTCACCTCGCCAACGGCATACTTTAGGCGGCGGGAAGCTCAGTTGTATGAGCTACAGTCTAAACTGCGAGTAACCCCCCTTAATAAGCCCTGTCATACTCCCCAAAACAATCCCCTTTATAATCCCCTTTAAGGAGTTTAGACCCTAAACCCTAAACCCTGAACCCTAAATCCTAAACCTTGAACCCTATATAATCCCCTGTATAACCCCATTTTAAGGAGTTTAGACTATGGCTCATATGCTCTACAAACTCAAAAGTACCTCAGCCTCTGAGACCTCCATCATGCAGATTTAGACCCTGAACCTCCCTATAGATCCCATATATATCCCTATATACCCCCATACACCCTATATATCCCCTATCTATCCCTATATACCCCCAATTATATCCCCTATAAACCCTTAACCCTTGCAAATCGACCAGGGCATGGACCATCTGCATCAGGAAGGGATGGTCATTTTCCGAGAGGATCTGGATCTCGCGTTGCACTTCCTGTGGCACCTGGGGTGATCAGAGTCCCCCTACACACAGACAAAAGGCTGGGATCCGCTTCGCGAAGAGACTAACAGAGAACCCATGACTTGTAGAAGCTCATACCGCAGTTCTGCACCACAGATGTCCTAGCCAGATACATGCGATACTCATCAGAGAAAGGAGATCAAAGCTGTGCCCCCATGGCCGGGTAAACCCTGCACCCCAAAGTTCACACGTAAGCCTAATGGTCGGTTGTCAATTGTAGTCTCCTTAGACCTATGGTAGTAATAACAAGGATATACTATAACTATCAAAACTGAAAATAATTCCTACATTCAAAAGTACGGTGCTTCCCAATTATAGAGTTGCTGAGTCGCTAAGCCTAACATTACGGGCCACTATGTACTGTTTCCAACAGGGGGCCATAGTTTTTGACGTTTTTGACATCCCACCATCTGGTCAAAACTCTATACTGTAGGGGCCTATACAATAGTAACTTCATTATGAGGTCCGCGCAATCATACGAGGAATCCAGGACCAAACTATCGTAATACTTGTTTCTGCAGAATGCAGTGTAGCCTCCTGAAACCTTGAAACCAGAACCTAAACCCTAAACCCTAAACCCCTAAACCCTAAACCCTAAACACACTCTATACCTTACACCATAAATCCTAAATCCTAAGCCGGAGGTGAAGTTGGGACGCTAATTCCTTGTTCCGCAGGCTTCTAGATTACGCCCCAGGCTGTCCAACATGCAAATCCTACGCAGTCTTGACACGAGGGTTTAGGGTTTAGGGACAAGGTCTATATTTCCAATATTTTAGAAGCATCCTAGACCTTCAACGGCTTGAGGTATGTTGATGCAAGTCATGTGTGCCTTGCCATCCTTCTTCTCGACCCGCTTCAGGGCATATCTGGAGTCCGTCTTGACGTGTTTCACCTGCTTCTTCTTTAGGATTTGACGTGCTAGTAGGGAATGACGGAGTGGGGCCGAAATTGGAGGCTAGCCTCTTATTGGAGTAGTGATACCCTGCAGGGCTTAGGCTTTGGGGTGTCTGGTCGAGTGAGCACGGCGCATGCAAGCTTCTGACTTGAAGGGGTTGTTTTGGACCTTCGTTTAGGGTGCTTTGGTGGGAAGCGCAAGCAAGGTTCAGTTTTGAAGAGGAAACTGCCTTTGTTGCTTGAAGCGGGTTTAGGGATGGACTAGACTGGGAGGCTGGCAGCTACTGCCCAGGGTGACATCTAATCGGGCATGCAAGCTTGGCAAAGATCCGTTTTGATCTCCTCCACAGAACCAGGGAGTTCTGAAAGGTATTCTGACAGGAACTTAAAACACTTTGCATGTGGGGGATATGCATAAGCCTCGCAGACCGCCAGACCCGACACAAGTGTAATTACCCATGCTGAGGCGTTGGCAAGCCAAACAGTACCAGATGTTCCGGTGCCGACTTGTCCCAATCTCTTCAAGTCCCCCAGCCTCAGAAGTCTCAGCCACGCGGTTTAGGACTTAGGGTTTAAGGTGGATCCTTATCCTGAATGATGCGCTCTTTGTGGCTATTCCTCAAGAGAAGGGTCAAACAAACCAAAATCCAAAATGCCTAATTGTACAGGTAACCTCGCCAAAAAGGGCACGTAATCTTGACTAATCCCTGTCTCTCTCTGTTTGGCCCACGCCCTTAGACAAGCTCTAAACCCTAAACCCCATACCCTAAGCCCCAATCCCTACCGTTGATACTTCAAGTCCAGCATGTCCTTGGTACACGGTGCTACTCTGATTCCCATGACCTCAGGTACTCAGTGTAATGCAGGACTTCGAAGTACCGACCGTAGAAAACACTAAACCCTGAACCCTAAATTCCTAAACCCCCTAAACACTGAACCCCTGAACCCCTAAACCCTAGAGCCCTAAACCCCTAAACCCTAAACCCCTAAACCCCCAAGCCCTTAAACCCACCACTGAGCCTGCGGCCCTACTCCCGGATCCTGGAGAGCCGCTCTCTGGCGCAGCTGATCCGAGGCCCGGCTCTCTTTTCCAAGCGCCTGGCTTTAGGGTTTAGGGTTTAGGGTTTAGGGTTTAAGGTTTAGGGCTTTAGGGTTTAGAGTTTAAGGGTTTCAGGTTTAGGGTTTAAGGTCTAGTTTTTTTTGGCAGGTTTAGGGTTTATTTTGGGGATACATAGGGCACATATTGAGGTTATATAGGGATCATGGAGAATAAAATGGAAACAGCTGTAATGAGGTTTGGGGTTTAGGGTGGCTCTAGGGTTTAGGGCTTAGTCTTTAAGGCTCATGGTTTGAGTTACGGGCTTAGGGCTCATGGCAGTAGGGCTTACAGAAGCGTTCATGGGAATAGGCTAAACTATGTGCATGGCCTGCAGCAAAGTGTTCCGGTCCCAGAACCACACTTCGCACTCCGAAGAAACCTCGCACGGGGCTTCGAGCGCCAGAGTTGTTTCCCTGGGTTGCTCTGAAAAGAAAAGGGAGCATGAAATGGAAACTGAATTCATAGGGGTTATCAATATCACTTCCAACATCACGAATCAACATGGTTCGCATTCAGGAATGTCTTAGGGGCTATACTTAATGGTGCCTCCTCACGTTGACAGTGGCTCATATAAGATCTGGACATTCATGCTGCAGGAGAGCTTCTACAGCATCAACCCAGCCGCACGTTGTACACGCCGGACTTGCAACAGTTCTTTAAGACATACCCAGAATCCTGATATTATGCACCTGTGAGGATTGAAGTGTTTTGGAAACTATCTGTAGTGGCGGCTTGAACTCCTGGGCAGCCGGCCACTGTAAAGGATGTGGACCAGGGCTCCGCGTAAAGCACGCCGCGCTCACCAAAGCAGCCCCCCTGGACAAGCCTGATGACAGAGGTTGTATGGCTTCGAGCGTTTTACTGGGGGTCAGTGGAGCATAAGGGGATATAATCCCTATGTAATCCCCATAATTATGACATATTCCCTACTTCCCTGCTAACCCCCAAGTAAGGCGCAGATGCAAAAGATTTATGGGGCTGTGGGTCGATTTGCTCCGTCAGTGTGCACGGCCTTCGCACCACGTGCCCATCTTTCACCATGTCCACCTGCCCACAGTTGGTAGCTTCTCAAAAAACTGGTGACCCCAATATAGACCCCAAAATACTGTAGTCCTTATTCCTGGGGACCCCCCAAAAAGGTACCCCTATTCATTTTGTCAGGAATCCCAAGCTAGCGTTCAGGCAATGGGTAAGAGAGAGCAAGCACGTGATTTGAATCGAGTGTTAGGTTCAAGCAAGGCTGAGGATCCCAAGCAGCCCTTGGCTGTTTAGGGAGGCATTTAGGACGGTCGCCATCTTCGCGAGATTATGCAAGAGCTGTGACAGCCAAAAATGTCTCCGCATTGTGCAGTTGCATCCATTCGACCGCACAAGGCTGCATCGCTACTTACTGGTAAGAGATGCTTCACGTGTCTTGTGGGAGCTGTGGTGCTATTGACAGCGGTTCGAGAAGGGCTGAATGATAGCGCTCTGACTGTTAGATGCCTTTATATGAACATATATGAACCAAGGCCATAATGTAGTCCCCTAGAGGATCCTTCAAAGGATCCCCAAACAAAGGGGTACAACCCTAGCGGGTGCAACCTTGAAACCCTTGATAGACGCCATGATCATATAGTCCCCGTTAAGTAGATCGAATATGGTTTTGCGTATATTATAATGAGACTCCCATATTATACCCACATATCCTATCTACTTAAGACGGGCTATATGAGCTCTAGTCTAAACTCCTAGTACCCCCTTAATAAGCCCCATAGTAGTCCCCTATATAATCCCCTATATAACCCCCTCAAAGGAGTT